ACGGAATGAACGGTCTCAGAAGCTTCATGAGCACAAGCAAGATTTAGGAATTAGTTAGTGTATGGCATAAATATAATCCTGGGTTGCTTTTGCAGATGTCTCAGCACGCTCGATTGGTAGCCCGCCATAACAGCAGTATTGTTAAACGTTTGTCCACGGCAGTCGTCAGTCGGAATTTATTCCTTCTCCGAGTCTCTCAATACTCATCCAGCAATTTTCACTACTCTTTTGCTATATGTCTCAATGAGGCGGAGAATTGACTGTTCTGCCGTCACTTCATTTCCACTCATGATTTCAGTGAAAATTCATCAGAAGTGCTATAAAAATTAAGCAGACCTACTTGCTTTCCTTGACCTGATCCACGATTTTCTTCCTCATCTGCTTTACACAAATGCTCGCTAGCTCAGCTGAAACAAGTGGCGATAAGAGAAAAAGTGCTGGCTTCCCTTCCCGGGTTAACTGCAACCGAAGATTCACGAATAACTGGTACATAATTGGCCAACTAGTGCATACATGTAGAAAAATTCCCTCCATTTTCCTGGCCTCATTTTTCATCATAGATGCCTTCTCGGTGAACATAGTATCACAGTTTGCTTGGTGAGAATCCTTCCGATATCAAGTATTGCAGCTTGCATTGCATGCCAACTCCTTGCAAGTACTAAATCCATTTTTCAATTGCATTTCCTTCAACTAACCGGATGGATAGCTCCTTGCGGTTGAGGAACGGCTGTGCATGTGATAAACTAGATTGGTGTTCATCTGTTTTTGGAAACAGTTTCCACCGGTTTCTGAACCTCACAGCAATCGAAAAATCGATTATCCAGCTGAAAACATCCTGCAGTTTAAACGAAACAGGGCCTCTTTTGAAGGAGAATACACCATCTTTGTTCGCAATCTTAAGTCTGTTTCGCAAATTCCGAAAAATCCCAATTATTGTTTAGATTCTTAGCCCCAGCGTTTTTATTCGTTCCAGGAAGGACCACTTACTGAACTCATGATCGAGGTGCTGCACAACAGTAGCTCAGAATCGGAATAACATAGCGAGTTCTTCATGGCCAATCTTATCAGGCAACTGACAGACATCCATCCAATCGGTTGATGCGCATATTGTCATGTCAAAATGTGGTCCTGCATCTTCCACAACAGCTTTACAAATATTTCCCACTGACTCCATGTTGCAAAGTTCGCATTCTGTTGCTCGGATATCAACGACTGCAGCACAAATTTCATCCTCAATTCCAACATGATTTGCATGTTCATTTTTGCCAGTTCAGTCATGGAGGTGGTTTTAATGAATCGTCACTTGGTATTCAACAACCAACCGTACTAAAAATGCCGCCCCCTGTCACAAGACGCCACTGGTGGAACTGAAGTGACGGCAGAGGCGTCGTTTCTCACGTTCACTGAAAATAGCAGTAACTGAGCAGTGGGAATTTCTGTATTGCTATTGGGAGAAGCGGAGAAGCACGAAATTCAGATTGCTGACGGTTGTCGCCAGGTATTAAACGGTGTTGCTCCTACCTTGGGCTAACATAAGTGTGCAGAGACCTCTGCGAAACCAATCCAAAGCTACATTTGTGTTATGTACAAACCGTTCCCAGAATCTGGCTTGTGTCCATGACGCTTCTGCGACGGTTCATTCGATTACATTTTTGGCAGGGTAGACCAGCTATTCTCATACTTTTTACATCTAAAAATTTGCTGGAATTTTTTGATCCAAGTCACGACCACACGAACCACAAGAATAGTTGCATCTTTAAGTATCACCTCGGTCTTGTCGTTACTGTTTTTTTCGTTTCTGAGCCTTTGAAGATCTGTTCTCATAGAAATCAAGGATGCACTGAAATGTTTAAACAAAAGGGACTTGCTCTGCGGCAAACTTTTGTTAAGGTTGCAATGTTAACAGTTTTCCATTGTCAGTATAGAGAAAGTGGTTGCCACTGCAATGGATGAATCAAAGAAACATTATGCTGAGTTGGAGGTAAGCATAGTGTCGAATTCGACGAATGTAACAAATGGACGGAGAAGAATTGTTTGATTCTCGATGAGATATCGATGAGTTAGAACATGCAATGTTGTCTGTCATGGGCAGTTTGACTGATAAAACGCTATAGTTTTCGGAAAATTCCTGATCTTGCAAACAAGTATGCTTTCTTTATATCCTTAAATCTGCTTGCTATTAACTATGGTTCTTCGCTTAGCAAAGTTAAGCAAGATATAGAAAAAGGGGAATTCTTTGTCAAAAGGAGAAGGTTGCAGTATTTTGTGAAGGATCCAGGAGACGGAAAAATTAATGGACCTTCTGAACATTTTAACTTAATACAGAAATATCACTTCTGGCTACTGCTACGCATCTTTCTCACTCGAAATATTACCTCAGCCAGTTGTGAAAGCGCATTCTCAAAACTCAAGCTTATACCGAACTACCTCAATCATCAGTGAACCACCCAAGGCTCATGGATTGGCAATTCTCCCCATGGACAGAGAATTTGCTAATGAACTCAATTATGTTAATGTTACCAATACTATCGGCTCACGTATTGCACGAAAAATTTATCCGTATATTTTGCTCACGAGTATTATATCAATACACTTATCTGCATTTACTGCAGTACATTGAATTTGGTCTTCGTTGTCAGCTCATACTAAATATTGAAGGTAGGTTCCCAATTGTGTGGGTGTAAGGATTTACGATTGCCAGGGGGGGGGGGCGGCAATTTTACCTCCGCTCCGAGCGGCCCTAGTAGTTGCTACGCCACTCTCTCCATCCTACTTCCCGGAAATACCTTAGATTTATTTTTCTCCTGTTCATGCTATGAAAATACTCGGAGCGCATAGTTACTGCATTAAATAAGATAAGTCCATTGGGAATAAAACTACTAACTGCCGATTTTGTTAATATTTTTTGATGACTTGTCAAACTATCGTACGGGCTTGTAAAACAGTAGTTCCTATCCTGTATAAAATCATTGTTTATTGCCCATTGCACATCAAGTGAAGTGAGATGCAGCTTTGTACCAAAATATGCATCTTAATAAACAAGGTACGGGAATTAGTGGTGAGCGAGTTAACCGAACTCGTTTCATTCGGGGTAGTTATGGGAAGCTGCCCGGTGGAAGAATCTGAGGTGAAATGTGAGGTTGGCATATAAGTTTGTGTACGATGGTTTGCTGTGGGTGTGGTGCAAACAGCCGTAGGTGAACAACACATTTAGGACTTGGTAGTCTTACTTAGGGCGTAATCTTGCTGCAGCTGGGAGTCCAAAGCTTAGTGAGACAAACATTTTTATAGCATGTTTCTACGCCCTTAGTAAATTAAGGTAAAACAGTATAACGGACGTTATTGTCCCCTGTGGGATGGCTAACTAATGGCGTGTCGAATACTCGTGAACCAAATCATGCTTTTGGCATAATTTGCTGTGAGTCACAACACCATATTGGAACACCGCGTGATATTGCAGGCTGGAAGTCAACGCCGTTTTATCTATTTGCGGCAATCGTTATGTACATTTCCGTAGCGCCCACACAGCAATAAAAATCACCTACTTATGTGCCTGCGCATTTGACATTTCCGTCATTCTCCAGCATTAGGTCTCAGAGTTTTCACAGCAGTTTTCCACCTGATGGGACGCACTTCACTTTCGTTATTTTATCCCGTCCACCATCTAATGAAATAACATTCACGGAAACTGGGGTTTAGTTGTAGAACTGTCTACCTGCATTCGCTGCATTAAGGTATCCAGTTCCATTGTGATAACGGCGGCGGTTGCAATAATGGAATCTTGAATCGACGATGGTTTGGACAATTTCACCTGATATCCATCAGTTTGATTTGTACTGTTTCGAATCTATACAAGAGGCCGTGGTGCATGCACCATGTGCATTCAATGCTCTCAATGTTAGACATGAAAAATCCAACGCTTATCTATTTTCTTGACTGAAACAGCGTATTATATTGTATAAATTGTAAGCCACTATTACAAAACCGTCTTAAATTTGGCAATTAACCTCTTACAAGTACCTCATTGTGAGATTAGGTATTTGGACAGAACACAAGGCTCCTCATTGTACTGCTATTCTTCCACCATTTCTATTTTTGCCCAAAAAGTGTCGGCCATCCAACCAAAGTTTGTTCTGACAAACTTAAACATATCCGGAGACCTCACAATGTATTTCTATTCTCTTTACCATTCACCTATCCACCAATGAACGAGGTCGTTATAAGCAACCTAACTTAAAACGCGGAGAGTTACTTTCACCTATGCAATAAATGTGGCTTTGTCATTATCCATTATGTGCATTTTCTGTGAATGAGGAAGTCAAGACAGTTATGTGACTGTCGTTGTTCATTTCCGTTTTCCCACGTGTTTAAGCATTTGGTAAAACCCCGCCAATTTTCATCCTGATTGTGCGTATGGATAGTCCCGTAATTTTTCTCTATCTAGTAGGTTAGCATTGCTAGATTATTGAAGTAGTTCCTCCAACCTGCACATCAACATCATCCCCAAACTAACCGAAATTTGTCCACTGGCTGTTGTGACAAGCGTGCTTCACAGGCCTCAGTAGCTTAGTGGTAGGTGCGTCTACTAGAGATAAGTTCTTCTCAAGTTCGGTTGTGCGTTCGGATCCTACATCTTGATTATGATGAACCGACACCTATCTCCTCCTGGTATGCAACACTAGGAATGAGCGTTAACTAATAGTTGAGACATATCATCTCAAATGACACGACACTTTATGTTATCATACCTAAATCAGGCTGTTACTTGTGCCTGGTGAATATTATGAATGAAATATATGAATTCATAAATCTACCCCCAGGAAACGATTACACAAACCATTAGGCCGTGCGCCGATGGTGAAATGAGTTCCTTCACATTGTTTGCTGACGTGGTTTACTACGTTTCAGCATCCCATTACAGCTGATTTTCCATCTTTATCTTGAATATTTGTCTATTGGTCGCTGGTCCGATAACCCCAAATTGTTGTCAACATTTTCAGATTACCCGTGAGAACCGCCAGTGGTGAACACTTGGTAAGTTTCGTTGACATTAATATTTATGCAACACTGATGTAGATGTACGAGCTTTACACACTTGTTATTACTTAATCACTTCATGAACTTGGAAAATTAAGCTCCCCTGGTTTATCTATACAGACCGAGCTGTAAACGTTCCAAAGTTAGCATTGAGGGATTCGCACACAATGCACTAATTTTCATATGATTGGCGAATGAAAAACAACTTTAACTTGGTTGTTGGGTTAACACTGTTTACTGTTGTTATCAACGGAATACAGAGATGATACAGTTCTTTAAGAAATGCAAAAACCTCGAAAAGTAGCAACTCACAGTCAAATCACACTTACGTTTCGGTTACAAAGGACAGTATAACTGTCGAACACCTTGTACGCAACCGAAGCAAATGTTCGATTGTAATTCTACGGTTAATATAAGGCTTTCCAGCAAACTAGAAGGTAGGGTACACACACAAAAGCACCGGCCAAAAATCAGCGCGACGTGAGCCTGGATTTCGAAATGCAATCTAGTATGCTTCTCCTCAGTTTAAACAAAATATACAAATGATGTCTTGATAAAACTGATTAGGGGGAAAATGTGAACCAATGTTAACCACTATACAACTCCACGTAGAGCGCGGACTGGTAAAGAAATTCTCGATAAAACAGTTTGAAGCACAAGTTCATCTAGTTTGGAGGGGAAAAAAGGAACGTCCTGAACCTAGGTGTATAGAATCGCCTGTTGATGTCTTGCGTAAAGATTCTGATGCATCAATATCGGTCGGTTGACTAATAGGTAGTAATAATCTAGAGTCGGTCTCAATAACTTTGTCTGAACGTCCAACCATGCGCTCCACATAAACAGATTTAAGGCGTTTGAGACTCACGGATTCCTTCGATCCATCCATATCCAGGATAAACTATGCTCGTTTCCTTGATAACACCTTGTAGGGGCCCACATAGGGAGGTGGTAACGGCTTTCGAACTGCATCGATGCCAACCAAAACGAACTAACAAGTGTACAAATCCAGATGACTTTGTTGTTCGTGAGGAGAGCTAAGTCGAATGGCTCCAAAGCCTTGTTTAGGGCGTTCAGCGTAAGACACAATATCCAATTCTCCATTGGATCGTGAAGCCAATAGCATCTCATCTGGTAGTTTGGGAGTCATACCAAACACGAGTTAGGCAGGGTAACATACACTGTCCTCTTTGACGATATGGCTGGTACCAAGAATGACGCTTGGAATGCGTTCAGACTAACGTGTGTCAAGTAGGCTGGCTATAATTACGGCATTTAGCAGTCGATGAAAACGGTCGACGCGGCCATTTTCAGCGCGTTGGTACGCGGTTGTTCGAATGAGTACAACCAACTAAGCGATTCAAGTCACGGAGCAACATGGAGCTAAACTGAGGTCCTCTATCGGTGGAAATCATGGCTGGTACTCCGAAAAGGAACATTTTCGAAAAGTGCAGGGCCACAGTTTCGGTAGAGATATAATATGAAGAATTCGCAAGTGGCCAACAAGTACGACGATCCAAACCCGTCAGAATCAAAGTGAAAGCGTTCGATGGAGGGAGCGGTCTAACTAACTCTAAAGGAATATGTCTAAACCGTGCCTCATGGAGTGAGAAAGTTCCGGGAGAGTGCTGGTGTGTCGATGTACTTTGCTGCTCTGACAGCGGAGACAAATTTTAGTCCATCGCCGGATGTCCGCGTGCATAGGATGCCAGATATGACAATCAGTGATTAAATTCACAGTGGATCGAATGCTTGGATGCGATAGTCTATGAAAATGGGCAAACGTGGTTCGCCGGGAAGAACGCGGAACAAACGGTTTTGGCTTACCATTGAAAAGATCGCAGTAAATCCTTGCGTCTGAGTTTAATATAGGCAATTTCAAGAATTTCACTTAGGCCTTTGATCAAAGTCGTACTAGTTGCAGATCCCTCATCTGGGCAACGGACATTTCCTCAAAACTCATGGGTAAAGGCGAACTATGGTTAAGATGGACACGAGACAGTGCATCAGCAACAACACTGTTCGGCCCATCGATATAGCAAATGTCGGCAAAGCATTGAAAGAAGTAATTCAACTGCCCTGTTCCTCTTAGGGGATAGCGATCGGAGGCAGAACGAAAGCCGTAGACAAGAAGCCTATGGTCCTTCAAAATTCCTGAATTTCGTCCTTCAAGTTCATGAGGAAAATGTTTGTGTTCCAAATAAATTGCGAGGTTGGCGACCGAAGGTGCTGTATCTGGTCTGCGGTGGCTTTAGCTTCCGAGACACGAAAGACCATGGCTGGATCTCACTGCCGATCAGTTGCTGTACAACTGCACCAACACCGAAATGTGAGGCGTCGGCTTAATAATGTGGGTGGCTTTCTCATCCGTTTTCAAGTAAATCAGGGAAGTTAGCTGGATTAGGTTTTGCTTGATGAAAACAAGCGTTGTTTTGGCTTTCGTTGTTGGCTTAAACTTCTTCGGGTTAATTTTAAGCAAATTAGTCACCACTTGAAGAACGGTGGCGGAGTTGTGAATGAAACTTCCATACTAATTCACCATGCTGAAAGAACGTTGTAGATTTTTAACAGATTGTGAAAGTGGGTAGTCGATGATTGCTTGAATCTCTCCAGGGATGGAACTGACGCACTCGCTATCTATTCTATGGCTAAGAAAATCGACGCTTGTTTGACAAAATGAACATTGCTTTGCATTGATGGTTATTCCGTGGTGGTTGAAACGCTCGAAATCCTGTGCAAGATGCTCCAACTGCTCGTCTGGCATGGCACTGGCTATTAAGCCATCGTCTGGGTAGAAAAATACAATGTCTAGGTAACTAAGGACGTTGTCCAGGAAAACCTGAAAAGACTGCGGCGTTTTGGTGGTCGAAAAACATACGGATGAGCTCGTATAAGGCGGAAGGCGCGATAACGGCCATTTTGGTAACGTCTTCAGGTGCCAGTACGATTTGATGATAGGTACGAACTAGGTCAAGCTTGGAAAATAAGGGCTTTCCGGCTACACGCAATGAAAAATCATTTCTATGCGAAATAGAGTATTGATCAGGGACAGTAATGCTGTTGAATGCCCGTTATTCACCGCATGAACACCAAGCACTGGTTTTTTGTACCGTACGAAAAAGAGAAACCCCGCAACTGCTGTAGGGGCGGATTATACCGATACTGAGCACGTGCATTTTTGGCAGCTTGCGGTTTGTCGTGTGGAACTCGTCTCTGTTTCAATGAAACATGTGGATCCTTAGTGACGATACGATGACGAAAATCATACTTAGCCTCAGTCTTGTCGGTATTCGTTTGAATCAAAGATATTTGTTGCAGCAATGACGAATAGTGCATACTGTCTGGCCTAGGTACACATAGTTCGACGGAATTAACTGTAACAACCTGGAGTGTAACTTTTACTGATAGGGACAGCCATTGTTAAAACTCTAGTCATGAATATATTGATCGCTAGACGCCTTTGTCACAACACTTTCATGATTTGCGGGTAACACGATTAGCAATCCATTGTTACTGTTGGAATACCCGCTGCTGCGTTTGAATCGGGTGTTGAGATTTGAATGTAGACCGCGGTTCATATACAAGTATCTATCGGCTATATGGATTACTTGGGCACTATTTTTAACAAAGAACACAGTAATAACATTGCATTAGCGACATTATTATAAACAGTAGGCCCAATTTCATGTATTGTTTAGATGCATGAAGTGGCCTTAGCATATATCATGGTCCAGCAAATTTGCGCGTTGTCTTCCAAAATCATAATATGCGCATCAAATTACAAGTGGGAACTCCCGATTGTTGTGACGCGCATCTCCCTTTAGAGACTAGTGGCATGAGTTTAGACGCATCCATCGTCAACCATCAAGGATATTCGTACTGTATATATATGAATTGTAGTCGACGCATATTAGTGGACCATTGCTGTGTAACGAGTGTCAGATATGAGAGTTTCTCTTACACAGCACACACGATCATTTATACTATCAGCCGTGCTCACTGCATACACCATATCCAGGATTCATATTACTTATCTTTGTACTGTTAACTTGAAATTTTAGTCGAAAACTTTCATTTCCAAAACAGTAGCGGGAAGTCCAACTTAGGGGTGTAACTGTAGTGATCCTTACGAATCTGCTAGGGAATAGCTACACGTAGCCATATGGGGTTACAGATATGTGGTATTGTGTGTGGTATTAAATTGGATAACCTCTCTGTACTCACGGTCAGCCGTAGGCCAGCTCTGACAGGTTTACAGATGGTAGAAAAAACAGTTAGATCTAGCTACGTCGGAGACGATCCATGACGGACAACCTTTAACACCACACAAACTGGGCTCGTAACTAGTGAATTATTCTTGCTCTTCGTGATGAAAATACCCAGTCAGAACGAAAACGGTGAACCACAGAAACTAGCTGGGTCAACAATCTACTACAAACCGAGCGGGCACTGTACTTGGCTGCACCATGCGTGTTTACTGACTAACAGGGTTTGGATCCGCTCCTCGCAGTCGTTTGTTTTGATGTACAACAAGTGTCTCTGTCTATGGAACTGGTGTATCAAGAGGTTGTGAGCATTGCAAGCACTGCTTATGCGTTCTCTTTCACTAAGTGAATTCTGTTGAATGAATCATTTGTCCCTAAAGGATCGGCTACTGCAGCATCGTGTCAGCTAACATCCAGGAAATTCATTGTGTGCTACCAAATCGTTGTGCGGAACTCAGTCAAGTGTTCAAATGCTTACCACATTGAGCGTAAACGCACGCGATTCAGCAAAATATTACTGCCAGGAAAGAGAATGCATCGATTCTTCCTTACTGTATACTACACTTTTAACCGACCATGAATTCATAATTTTAGAAGTGTGCATACTGCCATGTTGGAACAAACAACCAACAATTGGTTGGAGAAGTCACCCCGATTGCTGGTGACTGGTTCACAATAGCTGAGTAGATCCGAATAACCTGGAAGACGTCGTGGAAATTAGATGAATTTTGCTAT